CCCCAAAACCCCAAAACCCCAAAACCCCAAAACCCCGTCTTTTGATTTTTTTATTGTAAATTATTAAATTCTAAGAAATGGCTGACTTCATAGAACATTTCCGACAATATAAACTGGAAATACAGCAAAGGTAGGCTTCTAGTGCTTAACCTTAGACAACCAAGCTTTGAAATGATACAGAATATATGCTCCAGAGAAGAGAGCTCAAAAGATATAGATAAACCCCAAGAGGCTGAGAATATCCCTTTAGAATTTAATTCCATGAACCCTTCTCCTCAGATCGACCAAGATAGCATCGAATATGGAGCGAAAGAGTGTATAATTCCTATACTTCTTGTTCTTGCCATGGCCACATATACAGAGAACTATGAGTTCCTTTTTGGAAGTATAGTAGCGTTTGCTTTTATATATTCAAAGTTTTATGAGTCAATCCCAAACCTTTTCAGAAACTTTACCTTAGCCTTTATTTGAGGAGTAGTTTTATACCTCTCAAATGGAGAATATTATCAATTAGCAGCAATGATGGTACTGGTATATGCTCCTTTTCATACACTTTTGAAAGAATACTCCGGAAGTTTCAATCTAGTAGACATATTCAGTCTTTTGGTTTTAAATTGAATTTTCTTGATCTTTTGGGCTGAAAATTTTTGGAAATACTGGCAAATTGGAATCCAAAACAAAGACTTGGATGAATATGAACCTTTTGATGGGGATCAGCTGAACTCTCTCGGAGATATTCCTGAAGTTCTACTTTATTTCAGCCCATATGTCATCCTCAACTTTTCTGGAGTTCTCTTTGGAATATCTTTGTGAATATCATCTAAAAACAGAAAAATATTTTAAGGCATATTGTCTATGCTTTGTGATTGTCTCAACTATGAGTAAGTCAAAATGAGTTAACAAATAGTTCTTTTCTGAGTAATGGGGGCTGTCAGTCTCCTTTCCTCTTCAGAATTTAACATATTGACCTTCTTGATGTCAGAGTAAGCCTGTCTTCTGATGTTTAGACTATCCAGGATTTTAACAAGTGGAGTCTTTTGGTAAGTCAAGTGATGAACTTAAACTTACAGGTACATGTTCTTTTGACTTCCATTATGACTGATAGGTATTGCCAAGTACACAGGAGGTAAGAACGGTTGTAAACTCTAGATGATGTCTTCATGACTAGGAAACTTTTCCATTTCACTGCTCTGGCTTTGTTCTTACCAGCTGTGATAGCTAACCAGAAAATCATGGTTTTTGGCTCAAATCTTGCTATAGTGCTTTTTATAATCATTGAGTTCAGTAAGAAATATAGTCATGGTACTTGTCTCGCCAAGATACATGAGTATGAAGAGACATATTTAGATGATAGAGAAAAGAATAGGGATGGCCTTGTTTTGTCCCATCTCTTCCTCCTCCTCGGATGCAGTATTGGAACAATCGCAAGTTATATCTTGTTAGACGGAGATGATTTTGACTTTAATGCAGTACTTTATTCATTATCAGGGCTCATCTTTGTTGGAATTGGAGATTCAATGGCAGCTCTTGGTGGTAGATCCTTTGGAATGACCAAATGGCCAGGAAGACATAAAAGTAGAGAAGGATCAATTTTCTGCATATGTGCTTATATGTTTACTTATGTACTGGCTCTGATATTTGTACAAGCACTTTCTTCAACAGAGAATGAGCATTTTCCAGGGTATTTATACATCGGTATTGAAATCTTTATATCAGGAGTTATAGCAACTATTGTCGAAGCACTTACATATCAATTTGACAATTTCTTATGCCCTCAAATCTGCTTCTCCTTTATTGTCTTGATTGACCATTGTTTCCAAGAATTTATTCTAGACTTGTAAAAAGATTCAATTTTCCCATCTAATAAGGGGTTTTGGGGTTTTGGGGTTTTGGGGTTTTGGGG